CCCCCCAGCCCCCCACCTGATCTCGTTGACGCGGGGCAGGGGGTGCATCACCACCATCTTCTCCTTGGCGCGGGTCATGATGTGGGGGGTGAGGATGAACTGCCCAAAGCACTGCGGGAGGGGGAGACACAGCCCTGAGCCACCACCGGGGCCAGACCCCCCCCAAAGCTCCCCCACCTCGTTCCCCCCCAGCACTCACGGCCTCGTACTCCTCGGGCAGGCGGAACCGCTCCTTCTGGATGCGGGTCATGTAGAGCACGTCGGTGTCCGGCAGCGCCTCCTCGATGCTCCCAAACTCCTCCTGTGGCAGCACCGTCAGTGGGGCCAGGGTGGGGGCGTGTGGGCCCCTGACACCCCCCTACTGTCCCCAAACCCCCATACCCACCTGCTTGATGCCCTTGGAGGCCACGAAGCTGGTGATGTCGGGGGGCATGCGCAGGCCCGGGGGGGTGACATAGCGCAGGTTGACGCGGTACTGGGTGAGCAGCCGGGCCAGCGAGTGCACCGTGCGCCCGTGCTTCAGGTCGCCCACCATGGTGATCTGGGGACAGCCCTTGCTCAGTCAGACCCCGGGCAGGGCCCTTCAACCCCACATCCCCCCTCCCTGGCCCCCCGTGCCCTACCGTCATGCCGTTGACGGTGCCCAGCTCCTCGCGGATGGTGAAGATGTCCAGCAGCGCCTGCGTGGGGTGCTCCCCCACCCCATCCCCGGCGTTGATCACCGGCTTGCGGCAGTGCTTGGCGGCCAGCTGGGGCAGCACGGGCAGGGGGCTCAGCGCCGGCAGGACACGGCCCCCCCAGACCCACAGGGGACAGGGTGGGACCTGCCCCATAGGGGAACACCACCCTGCCCCACAGTGCAGGTCACCGTCCCCACCATCAGGTTGTGTCCCCCCAAACACCTTCATGGCTGGACATGTCCCCCCAGCCCCACAGGGGGACACGGCCCTGCCCCACAGCAGGTCACCATCCCCACCACCAGGGCAGGACCCCCGGCACCTTCAGGGGTGGAGGTAGCCCCCCCTGGCCCCACGTGGCCAGGGTAGGACCTGCCCAGCCCGCCCCGCAAGGGGACACAACACTGCCCCATCGTGCAAATCACCACCCCTGCCATCAGGGCAGGACTCCCAACGCCTCCAGGGCTGGAGGTGGCCCCCCCCAGCCCCTCTCACCTCGACGGCGCCCGGCTGGGGGTGCCGCAGCACCAGCACGTCGGCGTAGCAGCACATGGTCTGCACGGAGTCAGCCAGCGACTCTCCCTTCTGCACCGAGGAGGTGGCCTCCGAGAAGGACAGGACGGAGCCGCCCAGCCGGCTCATGGCCGCCGCAAAGGAGCTGCTGGTCCGCGTGCTGGCCTCGTAGAACATGGACGCCATCACCTTGCCCTGGAGGGGGATGCAATGTCACCTTGGGGAGCCCGGGGTGCTCGTGTCCGGCGCAGGGCTCCCATGGCCCATCTCGGGGTGCCTGGGCAACCCCCCCATGCCCAGCTCACCTTGAGGATGTCCAGGCTCCGCTCCTTCTGCACCAGCATGCGCAGGGTGTGCGCCACGTTGAACAGATGTGACAACTGTGGGGACAGAGGGGTGGGCTCAGACGGGGCGAGCACGGCACCCCCCTGGGGTGCAGGAAGCTGGGTGCCCCCTGGGAGCCCACCCCCCCCAGTACCCAGGCACCTGCTCCTTGGAGAAGTGCTGGACGGAGAGGACATGCTGCCCGACGAGGGGGTGCAGCAGTGGGGAGGTCTGGAAGTGGGGTGTGCCCTGGGGGGACGCCTGGCGCGGGAAGGGGCCCGGCGGGTAGAAGTAGCTGTCCTGGATGGCAGTGGGATCTGCGGCACCGAGAGCAGACGGTCAGCCCGCGGGGGGTGAATGCAGAGCCCAGCCCGGCCACTGCGGGACCCCCCGGACCCCCAGGGCACTCACCTGCCTCCGCCACCTTCCTGCCAGCCTTGTCCCGGGCGTCCTCGGCTGCGGTGGGAGAGGGGAGCAGCGGTGTCAGGGGGTGCAGGTGGCTGCAGCGCGGCACAGCCCTCCCGGCACTCAGCAGCACCAAGTGAAAGCACCGCGTGGCCCGACGCCAGGGTGATGGCCGCCCAGAGACGGGGCGAGCCAAGCCCCGGCATAGCAGCACGTCCATCTCCCCACGCGCCCCGCAAAAACCCAATCGGACGCAACCCCAAATCACACTGGCAGACGAGGGGTCCCCGAGGTGCCGCGCGGGCCGGGAGGGGAGTGGGCT